TGAGTTCAACCCAAGCAACCAATCATGGGCTAGCAAATAGTATTTTTTTTTACATTTCCCTTGCATATTATTGGTTATTCAAAGTGAACACAGGTTCACCTTAATTCCTATTACTTGCTTTGCAAAGTGAGCATTGACTTTGATAATCAACTACTTTCTGTCCGCCCATGCGTGCACCCCATGTTGCCCCCTATGCCAGTCCAGGGAGAGAAGAGAGAACTCGGCACAGCAGTAAAAGCATTACATTTTACACACCTGTTTGATTAGCACATTTAACACTTCGATTGGCCTTATTAACCCTTTGATCACCCTGTCACCCAGCCAGTTTTAGTATATGAAAATTTTTACTGATCACTCTATACTGCCACTAGCAACATCAGATAGTGTCAGGGTCTTTAACCTCCTCTCCCAGTCAGGGTCAACTTGCGTTAGATTATCGCAGCTATAGGTCGCTGCACACCGCCATTACTAGTATAGTGTTTGTACGGATCAATATATTGATCACGAACTGAACTATACTAGTGCCTCGTTTGTATAGTGTTCCTAAAAACGCAGTGTTGGCAGGATAAGCCCTGTTCCCTGCCAGCACTAGCATTTATCCCCTCCACTGTTTTTCATGGAAGATTTGTATCAATTGATTGTGGACCAAAGCAATTTATACACACAACAATACATGGCCGTCCACACAAATTTATCTCTTGCCAGGCAATTTGTGTGGAAACCTATCATGCTTTCTGTATTTAAAACATTTTTGGGGCTAACCCTAAACATGGGTATTACAAAAAATAATGAATTGCAGTCATATTGGTCCAGAGATCCAATTCATCATATGCTCATGTTCTCTGCTGTTACATGTCCAACAAGGACCAGCCACATACTGGTATATTGATGGACTTTGAGTTGCTATACCAGGATGATGCCTGCAGCTACAGGCATAATCCTGTAGGGACATCCCCCCCACCCGCCACCTTCTGCGGTTTTCTTCAGCTCTCCTGTTCCACCTGGGAAGCTGAGAATACAGTCGAAAGTTCCCCTTGCTGACCATAGAGCTGATCAGAGAACGGAATGTCTCCAATCATCTCTATGGTCTAAGAGTCTGGAAGCTTTGAGCATTTCATCATTTCCATTTCACCGGATATAAACAGCACCATTTTAAAATTGGGAAAGCATCTGATCACACTGATCTTGGTGTGATCAGATGCTTTAGGGGCAGAGGAGAGATCTAGAGTCTAATAGACTCCATACCTGTCACTGTCTATTGCTATCAGAGGGGAAATTTACATTCCCTGTGATAACAATAAAAATTATAACCAAAAAAAAGCAAAATAAATAATAAAAAAAAAAATCAACCCCCCCCCCCCCCCATCCTCGCCCAAGCAGCGGTCTCATGCAGGTATGTAAACAGAGATTGCTCCATGCATGTGAGGTATCACCACAAATGTCAGATCAAGAGCAGTAATTCTGGACCTTCTGTGTAAATTTAAAGTTGTGACTTTTAAAGGCTTTTAAATAATCGCCTATGGATATTTAAAATGTACGTACTTTGTCGCCAATGCACTGGTGTGCGCAATTTTAAAGCATATCATGTTTGGTATCCATTTACTCAGCATAACATCATCTTTTATATTTTATCAGGCAATATATTGTGTTTTTGTGCATTAAAATTTAAAAAAGTGTATTTTTTTACATACAAAATGTATATTTTTTAGAACCGATAATAGAAACGTTTTTTTTTTTCCAAAATTTGTGGTCTTTTTAAATTTATATTGCAAAAATCAAAAAGCCCAGCGGTGATCAAATGCCACCAAAAGAAGGCTCTAATTGTGTGAAAAAAGGACATACATTTTGTTTGGGTACAGTGTTGCATGACTGCGCAATTATCAGTTGAAATAGCGCAGTGCCAAATAGCAAAGAGTGACCTGGTCATAAGGGGGGGGGGGGGGGTTAAACAACCTTTAGTAAAGCAACCCCTAGGTTTTTTTATTTCTGTCTTCTGACATATCAATAACTAAAAAAACACTACCTATGGTATATATGGGTAAATATTATAATACATCATACCGCTACTTAGTAAAACAATGCCTAACTTTTATTGCTGAAAGAAAATCATTAAAATTTCCATTTTCTCCCTTTGTTTTCAATCTTAACTGTACCATGTATTGCATGTAATTAACATCATTTGTTTAGAATACAACTAACAAGCAGAATGACAATAAAACCATAGATGGATTGTCATTTTTTAACAAAAAGGATCATCTACATAAATAAAACACTATCAGGCAAATATCTGATAAAGAAGCACACAATGAATTCCCTAAAAGCATGACATGTTATTGGATTGCTGCAGATGATCACATAGAAAGGCTATGTATGTAAGAACTGTTCTGCAATGAAAGACAAAAGATTCTCAAAATAAACCGGCATTATAGGACACATGAAAGTGTGTTAGTCTAGAACTGTTTTTATAAGGTGAAATTTTTATAAGGTGAGATCTTCTAAATCACAAAATATTATCAATAAATACGTTGGTCCGCTTTACCCACAATGGGAAGAAACCTGATTTACAAACTTTGGTGTCCGTTTATGAACCAGCGATAAATGATCGCTGCTCAGTTCTCCGGCATTCTCAGAGAACACAATTCTCCTGTGAATGCCTTTTATGAAGCGGTGTAAATCAGTTCTCCAAACGAAGGGAGAACGGTCTACAAATGCTAGAGAATGGTCTACAAACCCTGAAAAACAGCTGATTTTACTATAATCTCGCGAGTTTACAGTAAAAGATCAGTTTACTAAACAGAGGTAAATTATCTCTGCTTAGTTTGCGGTCCCTCTGATTCTCCAGCTCTGGGCTGGAGAATCTGGAGGGAGAACACAGATCTCCAGTGAAGGGCTGAACATGTTCTCCACTGATCTCCTGAGTGTCATAAACTGTGAATGACCAAAGAATAGCTGTGATCCTCTGAATCGCAGCTATTCTCTGTGTCATAAACGGACACATTTGTACAAGATGCGTACTCAAACCTTTTCCACTACAGCAAGACAGTAGAATTGCAGGTTAACATTTTTTACTGGTTCAGATGTACTCAAATATAATCTGTTGAAAAGGAATGGTGTCCTACACCTGTAAACAAATCCATAATCTGTTGAGATGTTCTCAGCAGCTAGAATATGATGTACATCATACAAAATGGCAATAGAGTTATGTTTTTTTCCAGAACTATTATCAAAGCTCTTTTGTAAGAATTCAAAATGTTTACTTGTTTTAAATGTTTTTGATGGAACCTGTACACAAAGGTGACCTATCTAACATATCACATGATCAGTACTGTGATATATTTAAAATCAGAAGAATTATTTTGCTACAATCAGTCAGAAAGAATAACAAACAACCCTTGATGCATAATCGCAAATTCATTTTCTTAAAATAGATTACTAGGAGTTTATTTATTATTACAGGTACTTATATACAGTAGCGCTATCAATTTATGCAGTGCTCTACATGTACAGTATATTGTACATTGTATTTTACCAGTCCCTAATCCTCAACGAGCATACAATCTAAGTCCCTAACTCACATTCATACATACACATACTAGGGCCAATTTAGACAGGATCCAATTAACCTACCAGCATGTCTTTGGAGTGTGGAAGGAAACCCACACAGGCACAAGGGAACATGCAAACTCCCGGCAGGTAGTGCCGTGGTTGGGACTTGAAACAACAACCGACACAAACAAACACACTGAAGAAAAAAAACAGTAAACGGTCTAAATGGCTCTAATGTTGAATATAAACAAAGTATTACCTGTTCAGAGGTACACATTAGCTTCTTTGATTTTTGAGTCATCAGCTTTTAGATAATATGGAAGTGTAGGCATGTACATATACTGTGTGAGTACCCCCTACCAATGACCATATGCGCTTTGTGAATGGGATTCTCAGACTTTGTGTATGCTAGGACTTCTAGTTTTAAAGCAAAATATAAAGCAAAATATAAACCATATGGTGCCAGCATGCCACTTGGAAGAGAAAAATCTTGTTGCTTTATTTCAGATTTAACACAGGTGCAAAGACTGTTCACTTAGCAAAGTGAATGTTCACTGAGCTTGCTAAATACAGTAAAACTGTGCTTACTCAGAATACTATATATATATATATATATATATATATATATATATATATATATATATTATCCGGTGCTAGGCATTTAGGATTTTTTTTTCTGGCACATGTAGCACATGATTGGATGATTAAAGTGAACACAGCTTCACCTGTTCACTTTCAAGGTGAACAGTCACTTCTCTTTTGGTAAATCAGCCCTATTGTGACAGGAACATGTTGGGTAGAAAGCAGTGGGCTGTAAAATAGGCAGAAATGCTTAGAACACTTGCCTACCAGGCACTTATACCCCCTTCCTTACCAGGCCAATTTTCAGCTTTCAGCGCTGTCGCACTTTGATTGACAATTGCGCGGTCATGCAACATTGTACCCATATGAAATTTTGATCATTTTTTTTCACAAATAGAGCTTTCTTTTGGTGGTATTTAATCGCCACTGGGCACTTTACTTTTTGCGCTATAAATTAAAAAAAGTGCAAAAAATTTGTAAAAAAAAAAAAAAGTTTATTTGTTTCTTTTATAAAATTTTTCAAACAGGTATTTTTTCTCCTTCACTGATTTACGTTGATGAGGCGGCACTGATGGGCACTGATAGGCAGCACTAAAGGGCACTGATAGGCAGTACTAATGAGGTGGCACGGATATGCCGGGGCGGCACTGATAGACAGCACTAATTAGGGGTCACGGATAGGCGGCACTGATATGCAGCACTGATAGGCGGCACTGATAGGTGACACTGATGATGGGTACTGATAGACGGCACTGACTGGCATCACTTCTGGGCACTGACTGGCGGGCACTGACTGGCACAACCCTGGGCACTGACTGGTGGCACTGACTGGCAGCACTGCTGGGCTGCACTGGTGGGTGGCACTGGTGGGTGGGCACAGGTGGGTGGCACTGGTGGGCACAGGTGGGTGGCACTGGTGGGCACAGGTGGGTGGGCACTGGTGGGCACATGTAGGTGGCACTTCTGGGCACAGGTAGGTGGCACAGGTGGGTGCAACAGGTGGGGGCACTGCTGGGCACAGGTGGGGGCACTGCTGGGAAACGGGTGGGCGGGGCTAGTGGGCGCACTGCTGGGCGGAACTTGCGGGTGTCACTGCTGGGCACCGATCATCAGGGCACTGATCATCAGTGCCCTGATGATCGGTGCCGATCCCCGCTCTGACAACTGCCGGTTCTCGGCAGTACTTTCCTCACGATCTGACAGCGTGAGGAAAGTGCAGCCGAGAACCGGCACTTGCATTTCCCTGTGATCAGCGTGTCATTGGACACCGCTGATCACGTGGTAAAAGGCCGGTGGGGATATCGGCCTTTCACCACATCACGTGATCAGCTGTGTCCGTAGGACACAGCGATCACGGAGATCGCCGGGTGCGCGCCCCCTGGGGCGCGCAGGAGAGCGCGTTCTGGGAGGACATCATATGACGTCCACTCAGAACTGGCTGGCCGCGGTGAAGCCGTCATTCGGCTATTCGGCAAGAGGTTAATACTCTTGTGGAGTCATTCACATGCACATGGTGGAGAGCACATATCATGGGGTTGGCACTGTTTCTCTGAATGTGAACAATCATATCACTGGTTTGGAGCACAAGCAGAAAACACTGTTACTCTCACAAAATGCGCTGTGGATTTCACTGTACATGAACTGCTTATGAAAATAATGCTACCAGTTCCAAACGTATGATAGAAAATTATAATTGACTGCAAAAAGTTTTAATTCAGTCAATAGTTATTGTAACTAAACTCAAAACCGAAAGTGTAATATAGCATATATTACTAGGCCTTGTGTGTTGGATGCATTCATTTGCTTTTCTTTTTTATCAAGATTTTTTGTGTTATTTGCACCTTAATCCTGTAAATAACACATTCCCTGTCCCTGGGTGGCAACATACTCCTACACTGTAGCTATGAAGGGAGCCATGGTTGTCACCCTAGGCTGCTCTCGTGATATGGATTCCAAACATGTTTGTATCTCTTTAGTTCCAGTACATGGAGGACAGGGCAATTGGTAGTTTACAGGAGATAGCTGGGAAGGAAGATATCCTTCAGTGAATCTCACAGGAAGTGACACGGGCACTGCAGTTCTGGCAAGATCAACAGTTGTTTTCTGTATTTGCTTAAAAAATTCCTAACTTGAAAAAAAGAAAACTATTGCAACCATTTCATTTCAGCACTGTAAGCTGCAACATATTGCATTTTTGATCTTGGTCTTGGTTATCCTTTGATCTTTAAAGGTGAAAATCAATTATTATGTAGTTATGGATTACTGTGCCCAAACGAAAGAATACAAAATGTTTTAGCTCTCATTTTAGCTAGGGACCACACTTTGTATTTTTGCTTACATATATTTGGTAATATATACAAAAAACTCCAGTTGGAAACAGTTTATTCAAGAGTTTTCAGCTCTATCTAGCTGAAACAAGTATTGTAAATTGCTGGGAATTGCCCCACCAGCTTACACTTTTACCATCCTATTTAAAAACTGATTTTAACAGCTGCCATATTCTGGTTTGTTAAATAGAAAGCTAAGCACACAATTTCATACATCTGCTGTGGGCTATGTTTTACATTGTAATAGGGCCTATCAATTTAGGTTTCACCTGTCCTGGCATATTTAACAGACACTCCCTAGCATCAGCTGGCAAAATTGCAGTCAACAGTGAATATTGCAGAGAGTACATGCTGGCAAAATGTGAATAAAGGTGTTGGAAAAATATGTGCAAAACTTACAGCAAAACAATCAGCTTTCATAGAGATCATCATTATCCAATTAATGGATTCCTATAGATCAGAGTAGCAAATATTTTAAAATTTATATGGTAAAATTTGCTGCTTTACATATGATATATATAACAGATTTTACTCTAACATGTGAATACATTGCAGATGTTGTTAACAAGCAATGGCCAATCTTCAAGGAAAAGGGGAAAAAATGATTGAAAGCAAATGCTTTTTATACATTTGGTAAATGTTCAGTGACTGCATGATAAATCTATGGTGATTTTTAATTTTTCATTATGGATATGTTTCTCACTGATATTATGTAATAAAGCATATGCAGTAAGTAGTAATTGCAGTGACATTGCCAGGAAAAAAATGTCCTTTTTTGGCCACAAAAGAAAATCAAGTTTTTATGTGTTTTGACTGCCCATAGGATGATGGAAGTTTGGATAGAAATAAAGATTCTTTTTTAATTAAGTTATGTGCAGAAACTACTATAGTGAACCAGGGCTAGTTATTTTTTATTATTCTTTATTAATCTAAAAAAAAAAGATTGTTTTGGGTCACAGCAAAATTGCTCTTTCCAGAATGATTTCTTGATCAGGTTAACCTAACTTTGTGAATATATAAAAGTTTAAAAACAGATGTTTAATATATATTTTTATATATTTTATATTATTCAATTTAATGTTATTTTAATGCCTCTGAAATCCTTTGCACAGTTGCCTTTGGCCACAGTAACACAATAGTAACAAACTATTTGCCAGGCATGTAAGACAAACTTTCTTTTAAAGGATAAGTTCTCCTTTGGGAACATCTTACATATGTTCCACCCGTGTTGTGCGGGGCTCTGCCCCACACGGCCGCATTATTCATTCACGGACTTCCGTGAATGAATGAATTGCAAGTCCCGACAGCCTTAGCGGCTGTGGGCTTGTAGTTTTCAATGAACTACCATGGTGCTGTGGAGAGCCATGGTAGTTCATTGAGGCTTCCTGTCAGAGTATATACTTGCTTGTACATCCCGTATGGCAAGCAGATATTCTGACAGGTCGTCAACAGACCTGAATGGCATCAATGATCTACTGATCGCTGGTGCAATGCTTTCCAGGCTCCTGTAGACAAAAATATTAAATAAATAACTGCAAAAAAGTGAATTTATTATTTTTTGTCTAAAGAGGTGAACTTCTTTTTTAACAATGAATCAAGCAGAGGAAAGCTAAATAAATAAATACGTATGTAATATATCATTTTAAAAAATGTAGATGTTTGCAGTGAGTGTGGTTACCTTGGTGTAGCAAACATTTTAGCGAATAAGCCATTGATTGCATATTGTGCAGATAACTGCAAATATTAATGGGCGGATATGAATTGATGCACTGAAAACTGGATTGCTCTATTCATTAAGGAATTAAAGAAATGTAAATGAAAGAAAAAAAATTGTGACAGCATTAACACATTTACAAAATGTAATGTGCAAAGTTATTTTAGTTTGCAATGTATAACATATTGTAGATATTATGATTTACTTTATTAAGCTTGAAAACCGCTGCCCCAGCAACTACTGACTGAACGGAAATATTATGCAGGTCACCATAGTCAATCTTCTGAAAGCATTTTGCTGTCATGGGGTGTAACCTACTGTGATTATCTACATAAAGGTATGGTGTATCAACATGCGTCAAGCTGATTTTTATCTTTTAGAGATTGCTTAGTCTGTTATCCCCACAGAAATAAACATTGCAGCATTAAATGTGACATGGATGGCTGTGCTGCATTACATAAAATAGTGATTTTATAGAAAGAATAGTCATTTGAGGATAATGTGTCATAAATCTATCTAATTCATTCAGATTTGCTCTATTTTAAAATGGAATGTCACTTTTTGTTCCACTGACTTAGGAAAAGGAAGTAAAGGGCAATCTTTTAAACCAAGACAAAAACACATATGTTAACTTTTTTCTATATAGCAAAAAAAAAGAAAATGTAATTGTTGGATTTGTTTCCATTGGAGGAAGTTCTCACTCCCTGGTCCTGTACCATTGTCACTGATACAGGAATGCTTGAAATAGTAGATTGATGATGCTAGAACCTAGTAGATAATGCTATTGTGCGTTCCATTAATTTATTTAAACCAAACTGGTCATATCCTAATGGGGCATCTGGGTGATGTGTGGTATGCTTTATGAATGGAGGAATTGCCACAGAAACCTCAGAATCTGAAAGTAATACTTGAATCTGAAGATCAAAGCACCACACTATAGTATTAGATTTCTAAATGTGGTTTTATTCTTAGCATATAATGGGCCCAACAGTCAATGTGTTTGAGGGCCACACACCACCCCTTTATTAGGGCTACAAAATGATGTGAATAACATAACTTTTTTAAGCACAAACAAAAAAAAGTCTTGTAATTTTGTATATACAGTATCTGAAGATAACTATATATGCATTAAACAGATATTTAGTAATAGAGTATATGTAAAAATAGTGATTCTGTGTGTGTATGTATATGTGAAGAAATCATACAAGACAAAATAAAATCACACTTATGTGGTAAGCAAATAGCTGATATCATGAGCAAAGTTATAACCTTGTGATTAAATGGTTGAATACATTTTTAAAATAATTAAAAATAAAACTTATGTAGGACATAAGACTACGTTCCCCCTAAAGACACATAGACAGAGACTCTTCCCCCTTTCCTTCCCAAAACAACAAATGTTTTGACTGGAATCCTAATCCTGGTTTAAAATATATAACAGTATTAAAGTAGATGCAGACCTCAAATGCATGACATTCAGTTTGCTAAAGCCCTATCTATCATAAACATTCATTTGATTTATAGATTATTATATTTTTCCTTTATTATGTGTTATGTATACTGATGTTTTTCTGCTGTTTATGTCTTAAAAGGCACATTGTACACTGTTTTACATAGGATGGATTGAGATGCTATTGTTAATTCTTCTATTGAAGATTACACATTTTTGCTACAGCCTACACTTTTTTAGGTCTTTTTTGGTATTGGTAGATGTGAAACACTTGCTGAGTGCTGGCTTTCTCATGCACAGTATTACAGGGGGAGGTTGCGCATAGTTTTCTTTTCAGTTTACCATAAACATTGTCAATTTTTTAAAATATAAAATGCATGGTTTCACCTTTCATTTAATCCTTTGTTGCAGTTGATCCAAAGATCTTTGTGACAACTTTCTGCCTCCATGCACTAAAAATACACTCACCGGCCACTTTATTAGGTACACCTTGCTAGTACCTGGTTGGACCCCATTTTACCTTCAAAACTGTCCTAATTCTTCATGGCATATATTCAAAAAGGTGTTGGAAACATTCCTCATAGATTTTGGTCCATATTGACATGAGTTAGTGTTGCCGTTCTATCATCTCAAACCAGTCTGGTCATTCTCCTCTGACACCAACAAGACATTTTCATCCACACAACTGCCACTCACTGGATATTTTCTCTTTTTTGGACCATTCTCTGTAGATGGTTGTATGTGAA